ACCATCGGAAAGATGGGGTTCAGGAGCAGTCACCCAATAGTAGTTGTGGGGGCAACTAACATAGTTTGAGAGACAGCGCGCCAGGCAAGTTAATGGGTGCAATTATATGATGGGTTGCTTGTGATGGCAGGGCTCAGCAACCCTGGGGTGTGTTTCCAGTGTGTGTGTTATATTCCTAACAGCTCACGCTTCAGGATTTCAGCCAGTTCCCTGCAGCAGTCAGGCAGGGATTCCCCACCCAATGTATTCTGAGTTGGTTTCTTTTATCTCCTTCCTTTGAACCATCAGGGATGGCCATGGCTGAAGATGGGACACTGGATGGGGGAGACCAGGACTCTGAGGTGGCATCAAACACTCTCACCTCAGTGCTTGGCTTGCTGGTTCTTGCTCACATGCTCAGGCTCTAGTATGTGGGGTCGTTAAGAAATTCCTCCCCACTCCCGGTCAGCTTGGCAGTGACATTGGGGGTTTTCTTGCCTTCCTCTGTAGCATGTGAGAACAGGTCACTTGTCAGGATTATCTCAATATATCGGACTTCAACATTTCCCTGCCACGACAGGGGCGCGAGGAATTTATGCACCTCAGGCCCTCCTATTCTCTGCCCATAGCACATAATGGTCTAAGCTCCTGTGGGCTGTAGTATTTTAGACTAATTTTGGTTGAGTTTAGTATGTGGGTCCCTGGGAAGTGTTGGTATATATGGGATATACACTTCTGGCCTTTAACTTTGAGACCTCAAAAATCCAACACACACCTGCTCAGTGCAATGAAGCCACAAGCTATTTTTCATTCCCCAAGGCTTGGCAACATAACCCATATGGACAAAGGCAACACATACACTTGAGGCTATCCTCGGTAATACTGACATCTATAAGGGAGGGAGAGACAAATATTTGCTATGGTAGAGCAGGAAGAGGTCTGCTTCTACCTGGTGCGGCATTTTATGGGCAATATTCTGCCACTAGCTCCCAGCACCCAGACAGAAAACCCTGTAACAAGGGAGAGATGGCATGGGTCAGTAAGTGCCACATGACCCCTGAGGTGGGACTCAATCTCATGACCCAAGATCCAAACCCTGCTGGATGATACCATGAGGGCTCTAGGCTGGGATCTTCAAAAGCACCTGAGCGAGTTAGGTGCCCATCTCCCATTGCATGACAACCGCAGCTGGGTGGCTATCTTCCTTCCACTCCTTTGAAAATCGCAGGTGTAATTCTTAACAAGGGCCCAGCCCATGGATACAGATTTATAGCCCCCATTCACTTGTGTTCTTGAAGTTAAGCAGGCTTTCTAGTCTCATTTTGCCAGATTTCACCAGCACTTTTACACCAATCTGGATTCTGTTCATTAGTCAAAAGAAGCAACTTGCCACTCACCCTTCATTACAGGAGAAGTTTGCTGTTGCACCAAACCGGAGGTCCGTGAAATGAACCCTGCCATTTTCTGGTTCTAGTGGTTTACATTCTCTTCCTAGAAGAGAACGAAGCTAATATTAGCGTTACCTCATATTACCTTAACAGGAGAAAGGGGATATGTTAACTTGCACCCCCTAACATAGCAAATACCATGGCAGATCAAAGCCAATGACCTTGGAGTCCAGTATCTGTCCTGTACGACAGCGGTCAGCACCAACGGCTACAGAGGAAATCTTACAACCCACATTATGGATAGTTTTGTAACATGCCCATGGGAAGTGAGGAGAAGTGGAAGTGGGATGATGCTTCCTAATCCCACACAGACAGTGGTTGCCTTATATCCTGAATCTAGAGATTTAAGATCCCCTTGCAGATTTAATATAAGTGCAAATATTCCTATTGTACATGTTAAGGCCCAGATCCTGAAAACTCACATACATAACCATATTCATGTGGGTAGATCCATTGACCTCAACTGGCAGCAATTACAAATAAAAAGCAAAATAATGCATGGGGGGGGGGGAGGAGAGGGGAGGATAAATGGCATAAGTTATGAAAGGTAAAAATTGATATGGGGAGCTAAAGACATCAGTGAAAGAGTCAGACAATAAGGAGAAGGTTTTGAAGTTCATTAGGAACAAAACAAATTCTACTGTAAGAAAATGTACCCGTGTCTACCCCCTGGAGAATGCTGTAATAATATTTGTACAAAGTATGCTTTGTGAGGTATCTGAAAATTTATAGTTTACTGGCCAATGTTGTCCCAATAAAATGCATGGCAACAGTGTATGTGAAGTTATAAGATTTCCCTGTATAACGTTAACTCATGTTGCAAACCACAACACAAGTTGGCAAACAGCTCTGTCTCAAATGAATGTGTGCTCTGCTTAATTTGCATTTAAGTAGTAAGAAGTCCTCAGGCAGGAAGAAAAAACAAATTACAAAAAAAGTGAGGAAAAGCAGCAGGAAAGTTCTTTCCCTATAGACTTTTTGTGAGCTGGGAATGTTTTCCAAGGGGCAGGACTGACACTATAAAAAAGGAGGGACAAACTCCCAGACACCCCTCCTCCCTCTCACTCTGGCCCCCAAATCACTGCACTAGAAGAGACAAGGAAGCTGCCACTAAGCTGAAGAAGGGGTCCTCACCTAAGAAGTTTGGTCAGTAAGACTGCTGGGAGCATGTGGTAAATGGAAAATAAAACTTAACATAGTTCATTAACTTGGGCACCAGTTGTGTTTTATCTTGACTTCTCTTGTAACCATTTCGGATTTATGCCTCATTACTTGCATTCACTTTAAAGTCTCTTTGTAGTTAATAAACTTGTTAGATCTAATCCAGTGTGTTTAAATTGCAGTGTCTGATAAAATCTATTTGGGTAACAAGGCGCGTGCATATTATTTCTATTGAAGAAATACAGACTTTAAATGAATTTGTATTGCCCAGACCTCTCCCAGACAATACAAGGCATACTTCTCTGGCGGGAAAAAAACAAAACGAATACTAGGAGTATGTTGGGGTCACCCTGCAGTATAACCCAGGCTGGTGAGAGCCAAGGTATGGCTGGCTGAGACATAGCCTCCAATGTGCAAGTCACTCCCAGCTACCTGTGAACAGTCCAGACAGGAGCTACAGCAGCAAAGCACTGTAATGGGTACCCCGGTTACAGGTCACGGGTGACAGATTCTCAGTAGTCTGGATGATACATTGAGTATACCACTCCTAGTAATGGTACAAACCTGTTACTAAATGGAGATGGTAGAACAATTATAATACAGGAAAGACAGAAGTGTTCAGTAAATTTCCCCCTTTTGTATTAGGAAAGAAGCATGACAACATAGTCTCATCAGAAGAGTCTGATGAAGTACTTTCAGGTCTATTAATTAGTAATTAAAGAGAAAGTTAAACTACATCTGCTGCTAGGGATAAACATTGTTAAACCAAACCCTTGGGATAACTTGCACCCAAGCGTCCTAAAAAGTTGGCCAAGGAGATCTCTAGCCCACTGATTAACTTCTAATAAATCTTAGAGTACCAGGACATTCAAGAAGAATGGAAGAGCACTGATCTTGTGCCAGTACTCAAAAAAGGGAAAGCAGAATGACCTAGGTAACTATACACTAGTTAACATGACCTCACTCACAGGCATAATAATTTAAAGGTATTGTGGGATTCATCAATTCCAAGGGCAAATCTATTCTGACCTCTTGAGCAGTGTAGGGCAAAATTTTCCCAATTCATAAGAAATTAAGAACAGAAATATAATTCATACCAATCAATATGGTTTTATGGAAAAAATCAGGTTTGATAAGCGTGACCTTTTCTTGGAAGTTACAAGTTTGTTTGATAAATGTAACTGATGTAATATACCTAGACTTTTGTAAACTGTTGGACTTAGTACCACAAATTAACACTTCAGTATCAATAGAGCACAAGTAAAATGGACTAAGAATTGGCTGAGAGGGTGAGGTAATATCTTTTATTGAACCAACTTCTGTTAGTGAGACACTTTCAACCTTACACAGAGCTCTTCTTCAGGTTTGGAATACATTTCCCAGACCAAGAGTGGTGCGTAAGCTTGTCTCTCTCAGCAACAGAAGTTGGTCCAATAAATGATATTATCTCACCCACTTTGCTTCTGTAATATCCTGGGACTGACATGGCTACACCACCACTGCATACAAGAACTGGCTAATGGACATCTCAAAGAGCAGTTATCAGTGGGAATCATTATCAAACAAACATGTTTCTAGTAGGATTCTGCAGGGATTGGTACTAGACCTGATGCTATTCAACATTTTAATCAGTTGTCTGGAAGTATACAAAAATCACTCCTGATAAAATTCACAGAGGACTCAAAGATTGGGGGAGTGATAAATGAGGACAGGGTAGTCCTACAAAGCAAGCTGGATCCCCTGGGTCCGTTCAAACAAAATGCATTCTTGTATCGTATAATGGAAAATTATACATCTAGGCACAAGAAATGCAGGCCCTGCCGAGAGAACGGGGAAACTATATCCTGGAAAGCAGCAAGTCTGAAAAGGACTGAGGTGACAGCAGACAATCAACTGAACATGAGCTCCCAGTGGGATCCTAGGGCAAAAAGGGCTAATGTGATCCTTGATGTATTAACAGGGGAGCAGGAATAGGGAGGTGATAGCAATGTATACAGCACTGCTGAGACCCATACGGGAATACTATACCCAGTTGTGGTGTCCACATTTTCAAAATGATGTTGAAAAACTGGAGATGGTGCAGAGAAGAGCCACAAAAACGTATTCATGGGCCTGAGAAAATGCCGTACAGTGAGAGACTTAAAGAGCTCAGTCTGTTTAGCTTGTCAAGAGAGACTGTGAGGCGACTTGATTACAGTGACTAAGGACCTTCACAAGGGGAAGATACCAGGTACTAAAGGGCTTTTTAATCTAGCAGAGAAAAGCAGAACAAAAACCAGGAACTGGAAAGTGAAGCCAGACAAATTCAAAATGGAAATAAGGCAAAAGTCTTTAATAGTGAGGGTGACTAACCATGGGCAAAAATTACCAGAGGAAATGGCAGATTCTCAGTCTCTGCAAGTCTACAAATCAGGACCGGCTGTCCTTCTAGAAAATATGCTTTAGTCAAAAACAAGTTTTGGGGCTCAGTAAAGGAATAACTTGCTGAAATGTAAGTAGCCTGTGATGTAACAATCCCTTCTAGCATTAAAGTCTATGACGCAGCAGACTATTCACACGAGCAATGTAAAGCACATTTGTGTTTTCTGGACCAGGTTCTAAGCGTCTCATCCTTTTTTGAATCCTACCATGTTCCTTGCCTCCATTTTGTGGCACTACATTCTACAGGCTTGTTATGCATTTTGTAAATATTTGTTATTAATTTTCTTCATACATGAATCCTGATTTTAGACAGTTAAGAACTGTGTGTTCCTCAATCAAGCTCAGTGGAAGACATTTTCTTTGCCCTACAAGAGTTATTCGTGATGCTTTTCCCCCCGCAGTAGACTTATTCCCACGAAGAATGAACTGTATCAAAAATTCACCATATCTCTATGGAGTTCAATATAGATATACTGTAGCCATGCAAAGATAAAAAGTGCTAACTTTATGACTGTACTGGGGAAAAAAATTCTCAATGCAGACAAGGCATGTAAAAATTGTGACCTATTTACTAAGGCCTGATCGATTCAGCAAAACAAGTCCCGCTGAAGTCACTGGGACTTAAGAAGGCACTAAGCGTTTTGCTGAATCAGGGCCTATATATAAAGTATTTTCTCAAGCAAGCAGGCCAGAGTAGGTGAGTCTAAGGCTATTCAAGAAAGTCCCATCAGTATTCAATACGACAAATTAAATCATAATTTAAAAACATATGCACAAGGAGGCAGAGTTAAGGTTCATCAGTATCCAATTGTATATCTCTTTACTAGTTACTGTAGTACTGCATTGACTAGGGACTTCTGCATCGTATATAGCATATATAGTCTTGAGATGAGGAAACTTGCAAAAATGAAGCCAAGAGAAGTATTCGCTAAGTTTTGTTACGAATTAGTATTTTGACTAAGTTTGTAACACATTATTCAATACTTTTAGTACAGTGAATTCAGTATGGCTAAATTCTACAATTCGTTATCAGGAATAGAGCAACTACAGTTTTTCAAAAAAGACAGACACTTATCACAAAGTGTTTTACTTTATTGCAGTACTTTTGATGCCCCCTATACTAATCAACAGGAAATACTATGAACACGATGAATTTAACCGCACCAAGCTGTAGTTGTCCAGTGTTCTGTGGCACCCACTTTAATGAAGTTAAAAGATGTGAGATGGTAAGAACCAAGATCATTAGGGAAACTAAAGAGGGTTAAAGCTTAGATGTCTTTTATTTTATACCTCCATTTAAAGCTGACCAGCGTAGGTAGAGTATCAAATTCCAGTAACTTCACTGGTGTGTGCACTGAACGCCTTCCAGTCACAGGACCATTATGTGGACAATGGGGTCTCTGGTAGAGAAGAACGGCACTATTCTTAAGTTTAGATCTACTACATTTCTGTACAGTTACAAACCTCATGTGTGAGCAAAAAATATAGTTGTTACTATCATTTTAGATGCAGTTGTGATAAAAAATAAATAGCTGAAATAGGCAGATCTTCCTTTTACAATTTCACCTTTAAAGTAGTACTGAGTGTCAGTGAATTCAATGAGGAATACTAAGTGAGCAGCATGGTAATAATAATTAAATAACTGCATTGACTTATTTTGTTTAGGAGAATCCATCCTCAATATACAGGATTCTGAAGACTATCCACCTTTGAGATCACCATCATTTTCTATACTTTCAGAGTTATCTGCCAATGATAGGTTTCAGAGTAG